GGGGGGTGAGTGGGGGTAGGTACAGACACCTAGCCTGGCACCGGGGGGGGTGAGTGGGGGAGGTACAGACACCTAGCCTGGCACCGTGGCCACCAGTCCCTTCGCACTCACAACTGACTCCCCTGTTATTATTCGTGACCAGCCCCCCTCCCCCCCCCACGTGACCAGCCCTCCCCCCCCCACCAACCCACGTGACCAGCCTCCCCCCCCACCCACGTGACCAGCCCCCCTCCCCCCCCACCCACCCACGTGACCAGCCCCCCCCTCACCCACCCACGGGACCAGCCCCCATCCCCCCCCCACCCACCCACGTGACCAGCCCTCCTCCCCCACCCACCCACGTGACCAGCCCCCCTCCCCCCCCCCACCCACGTGACCAGCCCCCCTCCCCCCCCCACGTGACCAGCCCTCCCCCCCCCCACGTGACCAGCCCCCCCCCCCACCCACGTGACCAGCCCCCCTCCCCCCCCACCCACCCACCCACGTGACCAGCCCCCCTACCCCCCACCCAGGTGACCAGCCCCCCCCCACCCACGTGACCAGCCCCCCCCCCACCCACGTGATCAGCCCCCCTCCCCCCCCACGTGACCAGCCCCCCTCCCCCCCCACCCACCCACGTGACCAGCCCCCTCCCCCCCCCACCCACGTGACCAGCCCCCCTCCCCCCCCCCACCCACGTGACCAGCCCCCCTCCCCCACCCACCCACGTGACCAGCCCCCCTCCCCCCCCACCCACCCACGTGACCAGCCTCCCCCCCCCACCCACCCACGTGACCAGCCCCGCCCCTCCCCCAGCCCACGTGACCAGCTCCGCCCCTCCCCCTCCCCCAGCCCACGTGACCAGCCCCGCCCCTCTCCCAGCCCACGTGACCAGCCCCGCCTCTCCCCCTCCCCCACCCACGTGACCAGCCCCCCCCCCCCACCCTGCTGCTGCTGCGGCGTTCTGGCGTTTGTCCCAAGCGGGTTGGCTGCAATGAAGCCGTGAAGACACCGAACAGTTCCCCTGCTACAATTAGCGCGCTGAGGCGCTGCAGTTGCACTCTGTGGCCACACGGTGGCGCTGCAGCAACCGTGTTAAATTTCGATGTAAAGCTGTTTGTGACTGCAGCAGGGATTCATCTTCTTGGTTCTTTCGGTAAAGTCGTCGCGTAGAAGGGAAGTAATAAAATAATATAAATAAAACATAATAAACGTCGTGAGAATTATTTTATTATGTTTTATTTTTATTATTTTATTACTTCCCTTCTACGTGACTTTACCGAAAGAACCTAGAAGAAGCAACCATGTTGGTCAAGTTATTTCAGCGAATTTTCATTTTGCTTTTTGGTTCTTTCGGTAAAGTAACGTAGAAAGGAAATAAATTAAATAATAGAATGGGACGTTTCGATTGCAACACAAGCAATCGTCATCAGGTAGAAAACAAACAAAGTAAATCTTCTTGGTTCTTTCGGTAAAGTCACGTAGAAGGGAAATAATAAAATAATAAAAATTTAACATAATAAAATACAATTCTCACGACGTTTCCCTGTCCCCAGACGACCTGTTTGTCAGTTTTGATGTGGTTTCCTTATTCACCAAAGTTCCTGTACCTGACACCATCGCAATCATTGAAGACTTGGTTCATCAAGGACTGAATGCTGGGGTACCCCCCCTGGTGAGACACTGCTTAACCAATACATACTTCACCTGGAATGGAACTTTCTACAAACTGAGCAGGGGCGGTTTCTTCATTAGGGCGATTGGGCGACGCACCACCAATCTCAGCCGTTACTGTGCCTCTGGATATAGTCCAATCAGCGTCATGTCACGTTCTGTGGAGTACCGCCTCTTTTTGGGCGATTTCACTCCGGCTGAGAATCGCCCAGAGTGTTCCCGTAGACTTACATTCAAAGATGTTGTTTTTCGAACGGCGGGCGAAGCAATGCATTCTCTATGGCTTCCAGGAGGGCTCGCACTAACGTGCTTACGTCATCATACGTAAGCACGTTTCAGCCAACAATATTATGTCGCCACCTAGTGGAGTCTTTAATAAAAGAAACTGAGTGGATTGTAATAATAGTGAGATAGAAACAAACAAGATGTATTATAAGAGTCACTTTATTTTTCATTAATATTAAAGAAGTGAAGTTGCCTTTACATGCTTAAGCTGTTAATTTATCCATTGCATGTGTGGACCTTATCCTTATCAATCATCCAGACATTTGCCCCCCCTGAGAGATTTTGCAGGAGCCGCCACTGAAACTGAGGGCACCCCAATGGGCTCCCCCCTATCTCCGGTTGTAGCCAACGTCTTCATGGAGAAATTTGAGACTGACGCCATCCAGACTGCCACTCTACGCCCGACCTTATGGAAGAGGTACGTAGATGACACTTTTGTCATCTGGCCACATGGCCGGCCTGCTCTAGACCAATTCCTCAACCACATCAATTCCATACACCCAGCCATCACACAGTGTACACACAATGTACACACACACAGTGTACACACACAGTGTACACACACACAGAGTACACACACAGTGTACACACACACAGTGTACACACACACAGAGTACACACACAGTGTACACACACACAGTGTACACACACACAGAGTACACACAGTGTACACACACACAGTGTACACACAATGTACACACACAGTGTAAACACAGTGTACACACAGTGTACACTCACACAATGCACACACAGTGTACACACAATGTACACACACAGTGTACACACAGTGTACACACAGTGTACACACAATGTACACACAGTGTACACACAGTGTACACACACACAGTGTACACACAATTTACACAGTGTACACACACAGTGTACACACACACAATGTACACACAGTGTACACACAATGTACACACAGTGTACACACACAGTGTACACACACACACAATGTACACACACACAGTGTACACACAGTGTGTACACACACACACAAAGTACACACACACACACATGTACACACACAGTGTGTACACACACACACACAATGTACACACACACAGTGTACACACACACACAATGTACACACACACAGTGTACACACAGTGTGTACACACACACACAATGTACACACACACACACATGTACACACACACACAATGTACACACACACAGTGTACACACACACACAATGTACACACACACAGTGTACACACAGTGTGTACACACACACACAATGTACACACACACACACATGTACACACACAGTGTGTACACACACACACACAATGTACACACACACAGTGTACACACACAGTGTGTACACACACACACAATGTACACACACACATGTACACACTGTGTGTGTGTACACACACAGTGTGTACACACACACAATGTACACACACAGTGTACACACAGTGTGTACACACACACACAATGTACACACACACATGTACACACTGTGTGTGTGTACACACACAGTGTGTACACACACACAATGTACACACACAGTGTACACACAATGTACACACAGTGTACACACACAATGTACACACACTGTACACACACAGTGCACACACACACACAGTGTGTGTACACACTGTGTGTGTGTGTGTACACACACAGTGTGTACACACACACACACAATGTACACACACACAGTGTGTACACACACACAATGTACACACACAGTGTACACACAATGTACACACAGTGTACACACACAATGTACACACACACACACAGTGTACACACAGTGTGTACACACACACACAATGTACACACACACATGTACACACTGTGTGTACACACACAGTGTGTACACACACAATGTACACACACAGTGTACACACAATGTACACACAGTGTACACACACAATGTACACACACACACAGTGTACACACAGTGTGTACACACACACAATGTACACACAGTGTACACACAATGTACACACAGTGTACACACACAATGTACACACACACAGTGTACACACAGTGCACACACACACACAGTGTGTGTACACACTGTGTGTGTGTGTGTGTACACACACAGTGTGTACACACACACACACACAATAATGTCCACATTGTTGAGCTGAGCACACACACCCAAGGGGTCTCTGTTCAAGGGAGGGAGCAATGGAAAATTAATCTTAATCAACTT